GAGAACAACGACATATATATATATATATATATATATATATATATATACCATCAGCACCAGGGAGAGGGAGAAGAAGAAACAGTACCAGTGCCATTACGACGATGAGCACGGCAAGGTTCATCAAATGCGTGACGGTCGGCGACGGGGCAGTCGGGAAGACCTGCATGCTCATCTCCTACACCAGCAATACTTTTCCGACGGTAACACGGGGAAGCTCAGCTTTTTACCTGCAAAATTTGCATAGTTATGAGGTAGAATTCAGCTGTGCTTTCTCTTGTTGCGACTGTTCTTAACAGGATTATGTCCCGACTGTGTTCGATAACTTCAGTGCTAATGTAATAGTTGATGGAAGCACAGTGAACCTTGGGCTTTGGGACACAGCAGGTGAGCTTAATTGCCCTACTTATATGGTGCTAAATCGATCTGGCCATAGATTCTGGTCCTCCTGGTCTATGGCAAAGCTAGAAATAGTTTGCATAAGATAACAGTGTATTTCAACTGGAAAATTGTTCAAATACGTCTATATCCAGCCACAATTGTATATACTTTACTATCATCAAACACCTGGGGATAGTTAATTGATCATTATTGATGGAAAAAGTAGTAGATCTTCCTCTCTGTTTATGTAGTACTCCATCATTTCAACATCTTGTCTAAATTCTATACATTGAAAATATTTCATATCAAGTTTTGCTAGCATTAGATTCTCAAGTATAAATGTAAAAGACAACAATAACTAGTCAATCTAAAAGACAAACAGTAAATACTCGATCAATCATACCTCATGAGGAAATCAAATTGAGATGGAATAGCTTTCCAATATTGTGAATTCAGGACAAGAGGACTACAATAGGCTCAGACCTCTCAGTTACAGAGGAGCTGATGTATTTCTTTTAGCATTTTCTCTCACCAGTAAGGCCAGCTATGAGAACATATACAAGAAGGTAATAAATACCCTTGGCATGTTTTCTTTCAGCTTTCATGCATATCATTGTGTCCTCTATTTGTATCTCATGACCTTCTCTTTTTTTCGCAGTGGATTCCTGAGTTGAGACATTATGCTCCAAATGTGCCGATTGTGCTAGTTGGGACTAAACTTGGTAATAACATTGTATTCTTTTAATTGAAATTTATGTCTAGATAAACTTAACTAACAAAAAAAAAAGTAAAAGAAAGCAACTACTTGCATACAAGGAGTTAGATGCAACCTACAAGTTGACCAGTATGGTTTTCCATGAATTGAATTTTCTATAATGCACCTGAGGTATCTTTCATCAGATAGTCAAACCATTCAGGTCATAAGGTCACTGCTTCATTGGCGATCTAATTAATGATAAGTTGATTAGTAGTTCAGTTGTTGACCTATATAACCTATTATGATGCTATTTCCCTTTTGAAAAGTCATCTTTAAAGTATGATGCTATTTCCCTTTTGATTTCAAATTGAAGGTTTAACCTTCCAAAATACTAGTCAGTAAGTTGTATAATCTTGGTCTTAATGCGGTGCAGACTTACGTGAAGACAAGCAATTTTTCATTGATCACCCTGGGGCAACACCTATCACAACTGCACAGGCAAGTTGACCTACTGCTAGTCAGTCTATAAAGCGGTACTTATCAAGTCATAAACTAAGTGCAGCATACTGTTTGACTATAAGCAGGGAGAAGAGCTAAAGAAAATGATAGGTGCGGCTGTCTACACAGAATGTAGTTCCAAGACTCAACAGGTAATGAAAGATCCAAACAAGCCTATTATGCCTTTTTGATGTTAAGACTTTGAATTCTGAAGTTTCTCAATGTCATTATTCAGACACTGAGGGATAACAATTTACATAGCATGAATTGATTGCGATGTTCTTAACTTGAACTCAAAAAAAGAGGAAAAATAGGATGCTCGTTTTTATTGGAAGGACACCAAGTTTGAAATGTTATAAGATACCGATAACCATCATTAAATATCTCACCTGTGACCGATAGACTTATAACAACATTTTAAACAATCAGAATAGTCAATAGAAATATATTATATAGTTCATATTAACTTCTCATCTTTTTTTTTTAGAATGTGAAGGCTGTATTTGATGCTGCAATTAAGGTGGTTCTTTGTCCACCAAAGCCAAAGAAAAAGACCAGAAAGCAGAGGACCTGTTTCATTCTATAAACACAAAGGATGATGTTTGTCATTACAAGAATAGCGTAACATTTTCATTTTCTCCTTCTGTTTCTTGACTTTTCCTGATGGATGAACTGTGATGAGTGCTTTAATAGTTTGTCTACGAAAATGTATCTGTCACACTAATTCTTTTACTCTATTATGTGGATCTCCTTATCAAAGATTTGAAAGTAAATTCCGATCAGAAAATATGTTTTGCGAAACAATATTTACGTGTTGCTCTTGTGCACCAGTTTGGTAAATCATTATAAGAATAACAACAGTTATTCCCTTTCACTTATGTACAAGTTCTCATGCAAAAGATACATTTTGAAAGATATCAAAATGGTGTGTGGTGGTTAGAGTTGAAGTTGTTTTCCCCCTTACTATGATTACTAGGAACAACAATTTATGATTATCAGTAGTCTACCATATGATAGTCATCCATCAATTACTCAGCTATCAAGAGAAAATTTCAAATTCTATATATAACACATCTTCCCAAAAATCTGATACTAGTATATACAAACCAACTAATGCATGCATAAACCAGTGTTCTGTTACTACATATAACTACTTTTATTTCCATCTAAGTCAAACCATTGACCCATTGAATCAATATATATGATTGTTATGATTGATGAATATATAGTCTTGTAAACTTACAGGTGCACCAGATGAAAATCCAGTATTGCAAATTTATTTTTAAGAATCAGAATGGTTAAATAAGTTAAAGCATCTCATATGTCAGAATCTGATTCAGTTGCCACACTCTACTATATGCTAATCAGGAAGAAAAATGTTCTGTGCCCTGACTTGAGAAAAGTCTCTCATTCAGATAGTTAGTGTTGGTGCACATCTGGTAGTGTTCCGGCCAGACCTACACCTCTTGCTACCATTAATTTAAGACTAAGTTGGGATGTGAAACAATACTGTTTAAACCAATTAGCTCAACACACATCCTTAATCTTGGACTTGGGGGTAATTACAGATTACCCTCTATAATTAATTATGATTAGCATTCCAGTCTTTATACTTTAAAAAGTAGCATTGGGATCCCTACACTTACGAAGGTGAAATATTTAACTTCAATTCTCCTTACGTCGTTAACTTCGTCGATGGAAAAAATCGCACGTGTTGTCACTTGCGAAAAAACACGAACGGAAAGGATAAAAAAATAATTTCATTATCTTTTAAATTATTAATTTTATATAAACTTTACTGATTTTCTCTTCTCCTGTTCTTTCCAAATTGCTCGCCCATCAATTAATCATAGTTAACTATAGGGGGTAATCTATAATTACACCTTGTATTTGCCAATGTATTTCTTTCTGTTGGAAGTCCTACCTCTACTCTCAAAGCACATCTATTGGAACCAATGGCGATGAACTTCACATAGACTTGCATATCTCAGACTAAAAAGACCCAACAATATATTACTGTTACACAATTAAAAAAATACTTCTGGACTGTCTACATTGGTTCTATAAATTACCGGTTATATTAAAGTAATAGTCTAGAACGATTGGTATCTCTCCTGGTCTTGAGGAAAAATAAGTCTCAGTAATTAGGTAATTAAAAAAATACTTCTGGACTGTCTACATTGGTTCTATAAATTACCGGTTATATTAAAGTAATAGTCTAGAACGATTGGTATCTCTCCTGGTCTTGAGGAAAAATAAGTCTCAGTAATTAGGTAATTAGACTGAATCCTATCAAATTTGTACGAGCCTCAGCAGATTAGCGTTCTATCCATTCAAAGATCATATACCTACATGTCCACACTTGAGACCAAAATTTTGAGGGACTATCAAAGTTTGACCAAGATCAATATATCTAGAATAATGCAATAAAATGGTTGTTCCCAGTTGGTTCATAATCTTTCGGCATTCAAGAGTGCACATGTTAAAATTCCTTTACTTTCGATCAATTGGGTAATCCGATCAGCAGCAAAAAATGATGCAACAGATACAAACACAATGGCCAGGCATTTATGCACTTACCTCTCAATGTCTAGGTTTCTTATCATCATTTGAAAACCATAATTCTGAGTCTCCTATCTTCCCATTCTTTAGTTAAAAGAAAAAAAAAGACATTGTCTTAACTACCTTAATGATTTGGATTATTTCTAGGTCAAAATTCTCAATCATAAGTTACTAATTCAAGTAACAATTGGAAATGCTAGCGAGCAGGAAGATGACACCTTTCTTCCTTTCATCCATAAGTTGATCCGCCCAGTTTACGCACAACATATTTCGATCCCTCGCTTATACACATAGTTAGATGGCACAGTTCATGCACAGCACTCTCGACTATAGAATAACGTATTAAAACAGCAAACCTCAGTCACAATTTCTAGTTCCAACGATTGCTCTCTAGATTGATGGACGAAGTTTCAAGTCATACGTTTCAGGATGATTTAACAACCAAAGAAATAGAACACGAACATAATAACATAACGAAGTCAAGGTGATTTAGAAGCCCTAGTCGGAGGAATCGAAAACTGGGGGAAGAACGGGGAAGAGATTCGAAGACCTGATCGAGGGTAACGATGAAGCGGCGGAACCTCGGGGTGGATGCCCGCCTCCTTCCCGAGCCTGTTGGCGATGGGTTTGCAGGCCATCGTCCTCGTCCGGTCTCGACGCGGCCGGATTCTTGGGAGTTCCGGAGAATTCAAGCGAGGAGAAAAGATCGAGCGGGTTTCTCCGCAAGGTCGGGCTTTTCTTGATTGTTTCGGCGGCCACCTGCTTGTTATATTTCTTCTCATTATTATCACGCTGTAGCACATAAAGAGACGGCCTGCAGGTGAGGGAGGGATCGTCTCCACCAAACCGTCCGGCCACGTTCCCTATGCGATAAATGGATGGATAGGATGTGAAAGTGGAAGGACGAAGAGTGATGATGAGACCAATTGAACAGGACGATCCTCTGTTTGAATTGGAGAGGATCCCGAATAGAAATCTGGTTTAGTTTTCCTACATCTTTTTTTCTTCTCAAAATAATTAATAAAAAGTAATGAAAGAAGAAATATGAAATGTTTAAAAAAAGGTGGTGCAAAAATATGATGGAAAAAATATGAAGAAATATTCCTATATTAATTCCTACTCTAATTTTATATATTTTATTTTTCTTGATTTGTAATTATAATGCAAAATAAATTAATTGGACTTGCCAAGACAACTTTGTGCCATTTTTGGACTTGTCAAAAAAAATATATTTAGAAAGAAAAATTCATGCATTGTGCCACTAGAAGCACTTAATTCCAGCTTACATTAAAGACAACCTTGAAAGAAATGAAGCTTAGTGCAGTAATGGAAATGAAGGGGAAGGTGTTCCTCGTCTCCCAACACTCCCACCTTTCTTCTCCAAACAAAAGCAGCCGTTTCAAGGAGCAGCTGCTACTTTCGGATGACTTCGTCTTCCCGTAGAGCAAGCAGTACTACTCAATCACCACCTGTCTCCTCCCCGTCATCTCTTTCTTGTTGCCGTCCACCCTCGAGCAGGCTCAGATCCATCCATTTGCTGATGGCTGACAAAGAGTCTGCACCCCGACTCCTAAGAAGTCCCGGGTCTCTCCTCCAAGACAATCTCTTAGCATGCTGCGGCTCCTTGTGATGTAATTTACCTCGTCCGTGTTCGACGCAGCGAATTCATGAATGAGCAAGCCATCAAAGACGCTGCCGTCACCGGCGCTTGTGTTCTGGCACTCGGGCAGCCCAAAGCTCCCCGAGAATGGGGTGGTGGAGATCGCGCCGACTTGTGCAGCCTTTTGCAGCAATGCCGTGGCAGATATATCGGGAGCAGGACGGTGAGGCAGCGAAGTAAACAAGGAAGGAACGCTTCCCGTGAGAGGCTTCAAAGTGTTTGAAGTTGGCAATGACGACAACTTGTTGAAATGGATCCAACTCAATTGACTGTCGACCAACCCAGCTTGGTTGATCTCAGACATAGCAGTAGTTCCATCAAAGGCATTATCGAGCTGACCTCCATGGCCCATCCACGATGAACACCCGTGTCTATCCTGCTGACCAACCTCACGATCCATAATGTTTGGCTTAAGATTTGGCGAAAGATGTTTCCATATGTTGGGTGTCATTGCACCATCTTGAAGAAGAGAATCGACACTGCCGATCGACGTCGTGTTCGTCATGGTGTATGCTGCTGAAACTCTTGCGGTTTCTTCAGCCAGAGCATCACAGAAAGCCCTATGGGTTATGAAGCTGTCTCTCCTGTTCATCGAGACAAACTTCCAATTAATCCAATTGGATTTCCTCTTCGGCGAACAGCCTTTAGATCAATCCAAACGCGTAGCAAAAGATGAGGCAATTAATATACCTGGAGAAAAGGACGCCGCAGTCGCAGCGATACTCTCGCGTGCCGCAAGTCTTAGAGTGGGCCTTCCAGTCGGACTGCACGGCGTACCGCTTGGAGCACTTGTCGCACTTCCACTTCTTCTCGCCATGCTTGCGGCAGAAGTGCTTCTTGATGCCCGTGAGATCACCAAGCGCCCGCGCGGGGTTATGGTGGATGCAGCTCTCCTCCGGGCACACGTACACCCGCTTCCTCGGCTCCTTGCCGCTCCTCTGCTTCAGCTTCCATGGTAGGTTGTGGCCTCGCCTGTGGAGCTGCAGGTTTTGGTCTCGCTGGAAGCCTTTGCCACAGATCTCACACAGGAATCGATTGGTGGCCAAGAGGGTTCCCGGGGAGAGCGCAATCACCTCTGCTTCAGGATCTGTTGATACAAAGAGCTTAGTCAAGCTGAAACTACCATCGAAGAGAGAAGAGAGGAGAGAGGCTCCATTCCAATGTGTTAGTCATGGATGCTTGCCTGGTGTTCCTGGGAGGTTTCTCTTTTTCTTGACCACAGGAGGAAGATTGGGATCAGGACATGGATTTAGTGGTTGGGAGGCCTTTGAAACTGCTTCTCCGGCCATTTCTTCTCCTTCTGCTTCCCTAAAGACAATTGCCAACTTTCCTACTCCTATTTATGGATAGTAAACGTTGAGAAGAAGACTTTGGCCGATGTATCTAACACAAACCCTCTCTCTCGTTCCTTCGGGTGACACTCATTTCTAAGAGGTAAGCTTATTGTATGAGTGGCGTACCAGACAGCTCGATGTGTGTTTCCGAGGTCCAAGGCATGAATTAAGGGACTAATTACACGGTTTCACACAGACCAAATCCTCATTAGACTTAACATCGGTGCAGTCTCCGTCCTATGATTCCTTAGGACTACTCATGCACGTGCTACCACCATGGATGCTGTAGGAACTCCATAGCCATGCGACGACGTATACGACAGAGAAGGAATACTTGTCCATGAATAATGCCATGCAAGCTTATCGACTCTTTCCAGATCTCTGAACTCCATCTCTTTCCACACTTGTATCCATCCTTTCAGTTCGTCGGTGTTGCTTTGTACCGAAGACACATGAAACCCTGTTCGGGACGATGTACAGGAAAGCATTGTGGGAATTTATCCACTGTTTTGATTGATCGTGTTGCATGGTGCGTGCTATTGGATGCTTATAATTTGCGTCAGTGTAGATGACTCGGAATGCACATGACATCTCCATTTCCATTGATTTGATTCTTCTTGTGGAAGGAGACATCAGCTAGAAAAAAGCCTAAGCTCTGATGCGTTGCCTCCGGGCTGACTGCAGTGCATGGATTAACTACAATCAAACAGGTCTTTCATGTGATATCCATGGTTGGGATCTTTGTTTACTCCAAAGCATTTGGAGGTTAGCATTTGAAGTCTTGTAAAGCCCTTGGATATTCTCTCCTTGCCCAAGGCATGGCGACCACTTTCCACATCCTTTCCGACATGAGATTCCTCTGCAGGGCGCCACAATAAAAAGTACTGCTCCGTCTCAAATATGTAAGAGGAGTCGGAGGAGAAAAGAAAGAGTAAAACGAGGAGGAAGTAAGCCTTGGGGAAAAGAGAGATCTTGTCACCAATGGCATGTCTGTTTCCTTGCATGGTTATGTTGACAGCAGAATATATTTCAAAGCCGCTGGACGTGTGGATATCAGCACCTTCAATTTCTGCAAAGATGCCAGAAAAGCCTTTATCCCTTTTCTATCATCCTAAGTCCAACACACTATTCAGTCAGGGAAAAGAGAGAGAGAGAGAGAGAGAGAGAGAGAGAGATCAGTATTATTGAGGTTAAATGCAATATATCAGCCCACAGGCCCTTCGCTTATGTATGCATTCATCATTCTCAAACTTGGTGTGGGAGAGGGCAGCATCGAGAGGAGAAGGGGAGAGTAGGACCAGGAGCAGTGATCGTCATGGACGGGACCTCAGGTCTGCATCAATGATTGCCGTCCACGCCACAGATACATTATGCTTTCTAATGTATGGAGAGATCTGCGCGAGAGGGTCGTGCGTTGGGCCGGTGATCGGTAATCCACCAAGAGAGAGACGACGTGTTCGTGGGCCATGCACTAATTAATGCCGTGGTCGGTGGGACGCCGGAGAGGACAGCAGTTGCGGCCTCTCCGTCCTTGTGAATGGTGGTTGCAGCGGAACAGGGGAAAGGCAAAAAAGTGGAGAGATTGAAATTAATTGTCCGTTTTTGGAATTTAATATAGATGGGACACTTTCCAAACAGTTTAAGCTTTTAATCATCCAATTGATATTGTAATTAAGATATCATAATAAGTTATGAGGTTGTGATTATTGATCCAAAAATGTCATTATTGCATAAGTGATGATGAAAATATTATTTTTGAACAGAGCAAATAAAATAACTCATGAATGGTAGAAATAAAAGGTACAAATGCATGCAGGAATTTACTGACAACGGCAAACCAGACACCCAAGAGATCAACGACGCAGTCACAGTCCCATGCAGTCAATGGACTCCCTAGAGAAGACTCCCAACGCACGCCAACCCGATCCCCAGAAGCAGGACCCGTTCCACGCTCCTTCCCTTGCGAGTAGCCGCAGAAGGCGCTGTGTCGGCGCTCGCGGAAGGCCCGTCAGCTGCCGGAGCACTCTTCTTAGGCTTCACCGGAGTCGCCGCCGGAGACGGTGATGACGCGGGAGGTTTAGCCCCGAAGAGCTCGGCGGGCAGCAACACCTTGTCCACCGAGAACACCGCCAACGGGAATTCCAAGTAGAGGTTGGTGTTGATGGGCGTCTCGTTGACCCCGGTGGACACGTTCACCTGGTTGCTGGTGCTGGTGATGTTGACGGTGTAGACGCCGCTCCTCCCCGATGCCTGCGTGTTCACCGGGTTGCTCGTGGTCTCGAAGGTGGTTGGGCTGTAGTACCTCGGGAGGACGTGGTAGAGGACCAGCGACACCTGCTCTTGGGTCGTCAGGCTGTTGAGCGTGCCGGCTTTCAGGTTGCTGAAGGCATTGTCGGTGGGGACGAAGATGGTGAGGCCATTGAAGGAGTTGTTCAGCTGGCTCTCGATCTGCTCCCCTACCTGCGTCTCTCTCAGCAAGCGAAGGAAGGTGCCGTACTGCCCGCCCTTCTCGAGAATGCCGGTGAGGTTGAGCGGCGCCGGCTTAGGACCGGGAGCCACCTTGGACTCGGCTTGGTCGAAGAGGGCGGACGCGGTGAGGAGGAGAAATGTGGTCAGGCCAATGAGCATGGGTGAGGAGGCCATTGGGGATGGATGGTGTCGATGGCTCGATGGGAGGTGATGACAGAGAGGGAGAGAGGTGAGGTGGGGGGTGCGCTTTGTAGTGGAGTGAGGGAAAAGAAGGTTGGAATGAGCTGGCCACCGGAGTTGGCGAGTGAGGCCTATCAGGAACCTTGTGTGGAACATAAAGCTCACCTCACCTCACCTCCTTCCATTCATATATTTCACGCCATGGCCCTCTGCACTCTTCTTACAGATCAGGAAGGCCAGACATGAGAGCAATAATGGTCCTGCTGTGACAGCTTACCCACCGAGTGCTGCATCTGCCCTACTCCAATCACTGTAGGATAGCAAAAAAGGATGCTTTAACTCTGGTTGTTTCCCAGTTACCAGTTGATGCTTCGAATCGACACAGGCTTGCATGAGACTGCCATTAGGTAGAATATCCCCTTTCAGTGAGTACCCATCTTCCACATGCATTCCATCTGGCGCAGGAAGAAGACACTGCTTCACCAGCAATAACAATCCTCTGAGGAGACATTTCACCAGCTTAATCGCAAACATGAGCTTCTTTCTCGTTGTAGAGACGCCGTTCTTTCCATCTGAGCTCCCGTTTAATGATGAGTACTATGGACTTGGAGCATTATTGGGGTCTTGAGACAGTCTGGCTTTGGTCATCAGTCCTCTTCATGGCAGGACGAAGATGGAGACTCATGTGGACTCTGTTATATGTTATTACTGTTGAATTGTCCTATTTCACCGGTTCATATCAGTCTGTTAATCCAAGGCAGTGACCACAAATACAACTTCCTCTGGGAGATGTTGCTCCCTTCATGGGAAGATTTGGATGTTGACCATTTAATTCATTGGTCGTCTCCACAGCCCAAAAGAGACCTCGCCGTCACTGGGCATGTTGTTGGCACCGTGCTGAATGACCTCCTCCACCACTCTCTGGACTTCCAGTAGTTCCAGCCTCCGTGAAGGGTACCTGAACTCTCGCTTTCTCGGTGTGCGACCACAGGAAGAAGAAGCTTCATCCGTTAGCCGAGTATACGGCCGCGGTAGAAAGGTACCGGAAGGCACCGATCTCTGGTTTGCCAGGTTCTTCCTTGCTCTCTTCTTCCAGCTCTTCAGGCCCTCCATAACCTCGTCGGCGAAGATGGTTTCCTTCATTGAAGAACCCATCTGAAGAGAAGTGATTCGAACAATGAACAGCCGAGCGTGATAGGATCGAGCCTTGAGCTTTCGGCATGGCCTACCTGAGTGACCAAGGCATAGAGTGGAAGCGTAACGTAAGCGCATAAGAACTGCACCAGAACGCCTGTCCCGAAGCTTAAGATGATGTCCGCCACCTCTCTGTCGAAGCATGACCGGACCCCAAAGTTGTACTGCAGCATGAGCATGTCAGCTTGAGATCTCGAGTGATGGAAGTTGTCAGGATTGATCATGATATACCCACCCATGCCCATGTGAAGAAAGCAAGCTGAAAGGAGTTCTGCAATGCACAAAGGTAGCTACAATAAGATCTGTAGACAAGTGCTCATTGGTATATATGTATACTTTATTAATGGATGAAATGCATCTCTTCCTCTTTTTTTCTTTGTCATTAGTAACATGTGAATTTGGAGAAGTGAGAGAAATCTTTGTTGTATAATCTTCACAAGGCAGAGTATTCCTCTGAAGCAACTTGCTCTGTTAACTCAAAGGAAGCTGATTCACTTGCAAGATACAGAGTGACCTCACCTGGAATAAGATGAACTGCACCAGGTGAAGCAGCAATCGAGGTTGAGCAAACCAGAAGTTGCTGTTTTCGAGTTCCACGCTTATTGTCCCTGGAACAACAATTGCCTGATTACTGCTCTTTAAGCACATTGTTGTTATGATGACCTCTAGCTTTGTTCCTATAACCAAAAGAATCTGCAACAAGAAGAACATTTTTTTCCCTATCATAGTTCTTGGCTTGTGACTCAATACACCAAGTTTCGAAAATGTAAGGGGCATACCACTAGAGGAACGAAGGGAAGCCAGTAGTGGCTATAAAATCCTGTATGTAGAAGAAATATGAACAAGTAGATGATTTCAGAAAGCAGAGTAGTGTGCAACTCTAATCTAATTAAGTTTGTGCCGACAAACATAGAAAACATTGATGATGTTGCATTACCGTAGGCATTGAAGAAAATGAAGAACACAGCACACATCCATATCCAGAAGCTGCAGCCAGATGAAAATGGTAGAAAAGATGTGATCTAGTAACATGTTGATGGATTTAGTAAGCATAGAGAATTTTGTTTCAGATCAAGACCTGATGCTAACAACCACCGCAAAGTCTTTATCCAGTGATCTCTGCAGAAACTTTCGGAAGTCGAACTTGGAGTCTTGAGATAAATGAACCTGTCCATCAAGCCAAACTTATAGTATCAGTTGAATTAGTATTTCCCATATGCCAATATGGCTTGCGTATAATTATGCCTTACCGCAACAAATCCACGCCGAAGAGAAAAATAATCAGCTTTCGAGACCGAATCAGTGAATTGTCGGAAAAAGCAGACCTACAAAAAGGGGCACCAAGTCAGTTTATGGAACTACATTTGAAGGCATAGCATTAGGGATCTAACTTACAATCCAAACAAATAAATGGTGATTACTCCAGATCTTCAAATGCCGTTCTCCAAATGATGTTTGCCGTGTCAGCTTAAACCTTCGAGGATCTGCATCCCTCTCAAAATTAGTATCAGTGACAGAACATTGAACACAAGGAAGACTAATCCCCACAAGCCACACCTGATTCAAGCATAAAGCCAATCCCAAAATTCTACCATTCATTGAAGTCAAAGTAATTTTTCATGTTGTATAATCAGAAAAGTGGATACTGAAAACGAGTGTTTCGGAGAAGAATAGCGAAAATTACCATTTGATAACTGATACTCCAGAGTGCTGGTTTCTTCTTCCCATGCCTTCCACCTCTTCATCTGAACAATACAAGAAAAAAATGATCAGACAAACAGTATGACTCTAACTTGCTGCTTATGATTTGCTTTCCCGTACATTTTTTGTGGAAATGATTTCTGCTTCTAAGCAAATTCTTTGTGGAATGACTTAACATCATACTGTCAATCATATTAGTTGCTACTGTTCTACAAGTCATTTGCTCAGTATATGAACAGGAAGAGTACCTTAACCTCCCCAAGAACCAAGGTTACAAGGCAAGAGAGGATATGAAACACGGCCAGCACAATGATCAATATCTGCAGTTGCTGAGTCCCTACTGATGAAACCAGAGATACTTTTCCCTGCAAAATGGGGAAGACTTTGATCATTTACATGAACATATGTACAGATATTATCTGCTCTGCGGAGCCCATAGAGGCAATTAATCAAACTCATTCCGTACCTTCTCTTGGCAAGATTGCTCCTCAACGAATCTGCCTGGCGGTGCAGCATCCTTGCATGGAAGAAAGGAGTCTCCCAGGCTCGCTGGTATGCAGATCTTTGAGATGGGTTGTTTAGCAACAGTCAACAGCAAGGACATGAACCCCAGATTCCTCAGTTCTGATGATAACACGCAGCCAAGAAGACGTAGATCATATAAGAGGCAATCGAGGTAATAACCAAGAATCAATCCTCCAGTACTCGAGCCACATTCTTCACTCACCTGCTTTGACATGGTTGAGAGCCTGGTTAAGCGTCTTCCTCTTTCTTCTCTCAAGTAACTGATGAAGGCACCACCGTCCGTATGATCAGCCATGAAATGTAACAAAGAAGACAAAAAAAAAAAGGAATGCACGAGAGAGATGGCTGACCAGAGTTAACCGGTGAAGAGAGCGTTCGATGATGAGAGCCAGAAAGATCAAAATGGAGCAAACGCCAGCGACAGCCCAGGTAGGTGTGGCCTCGAGAGAAGCTTCCTGGTTCGTCATCTCGATCTGTCGATGTCATTGGAATACTCCCACATATTTAAAGACCCCCCATTCTGTTCATGTGCGCCTTCCAATTCCTTCATTACTCTGCTTCTTCCTCCTCTTCTTCTTCATTTCCTGCTTATGGTCAAACTGATCTGTAGATGATGAGATAGAAACGTAGGCGGCCTTATCGGCCGGAAGCTGTCTTACGTTGTTGCTTGTGGAGGTGAATCTATTGCGTGTAATCGTGTCAGAAAATTCAAGATATTAAGGAGTGGCAGTGTTAGGAGATTTGATTCGTTGGACATATGTGAGTGGGTTCTGATTTCTAATCTTGTAGCATCGGACGCTCATGGACATGCTTAAGATCCCAGCAAGAAATACAAACCTAGAAATAAATATTTGGAGAAGAAAATTCAAACTAGCTAAGCCTCTGCAAGGAGTGTTTGACCAGAAGAAAAATCACAGAATTCATTCAAAGTCAAATAAGAAACTAGAGCATGTTCTCATCTTAGAGGTCATTTTTCATATAATTTTAGTCATTTTTGATACGGTATATTTTGGTAGTCTGAACATATCACTATCGACACAGACGTCAAGTCAGAGCCCTACGTCACACATCCCATCCTGAGAGTTCAGGGCAATACTGTCTGACACCGCACTGCACGCCCCGATGTGACGGCCAGTCAGAAAGGTCGTCTCATCCCTCCGGGGCCAGTGACGACGCCAAATCAATGCACCCTCAGCCCTCTCGTCACAATATAAAACCCCTTGCCAGCCTCCGACCAGAAGGAAAGAAGAAAAAAAGAAGGAAAAAAGTAATCCCTATCGTTACTAACTTGCTCGTCGGAGGGGCCACGGCCGGGTACCAACCGATGGAGACCATTTTCGCAGGAGGACGACCACTCATCGACGGTGAGGGACTCGGCACGGAAGCATGATTCGCCCGACACCAAGGAGTCACCGATCAACCCTGATCTCGACCATCGCCAACCAACAATCCTTCTCGAGAGCTCGGATACCTCATCATCCGAATCACCCTGCAGAAAGCTCCCGACATCGACCCGTGGACCTAGCCGTGCTGACTCACCGGTCACAGCATATCTGTTGTCTAACAATTCTTAC